GACAAAGAAAGAAGTAATAACGACAGTGCAGACAAAGAAAGAAGTAATAACGACAGTGCAGACAAAGAAAGAAGTAATAACGACAGTGCAGACAAAGAAAGAAGTAATAACGACAGTGCAGACAAAGAAAGAAGTAATAACGACAGTGCAGACAAAGAAAGAAGTAATAACGACAGTGCAGACAAAGAAAGAAGTAATAACGACAGTGCAGACAAAGAAAGAAGTAATAACGACAGTGCAGACAAAGAAAGAAGTAATAACGACAGTGCAGACAAAGAAAGAAGTAATAACGACAGTGCAGACAAAGAAAGAAGTAATAACGACAGTGCAGACAAAGAAAGAAGTAATAACGACAGTGCAGACAAAGAAAGAAGTAATAACGACAGTGCAGACAAAGAAAGAAGTAATAACGACAGTGCAGACAAAGAAAGAAGTAATAACGACAGTGCAGACAAAGAAAGAAGTAATAACGACAGTGCAGACAAAGAAAGAAGTAATAACGACAGTGCAGACAAAGAAAGAAGTAATAACGACAGTGCAGACAAAGAAAGAAGTAATAACGACAGTGCAGACAAAGAAAGAAGTAATAACGACAGTGCAGACAAAGAAAGAAGTAATAACGACAGTGCAGACAAAGAAAGAAGTAATAACGACAGTGCAGACAAAGAAAGAAGTAATAACGACAGTGCAGACAAAGAAAGAAGTAATAACGACAGTGCAGACAAAGAAAGAAGTAATAACGACAGTGCAGACAAAGAAAGAAGTAATAACGACAGTGCAGACAAAGAAAGAAGTAATAACGACAGTGCAGACAAAGAAAGAAGTAATAACGACAGTGCAGACAAAGAAAGAAGTAATAACGACAGTGCAGACAAAGAAAGAAGTAATAACGACAGTGCAGACAAAGAAAGAAGTAATAACGACAGTGCAGACAAAGAAAGAAGTAATAACGACAGTGCAGACAAAGAAAGAAGTAATAACGACAGTGCAGACAAAGAAAGAAGTAATAACGACAGTGCAGACAAAGAAAGAAGTAATAACGACAGTGCAGACAAAGAAAGAAGTAATAACGACAGTGCAGACAAAGAAAGAAGTAATAACGACAGTGCAGACAAAGAAAGAAGTAATAACGACAGTGCAGACAAAGAAAGAAGTAATAACGACAGTGCCGACAAAGAAAGAAGTAATAACGACAGTGCAGACAAAGAAATTTGTCAAATGTTCAGGGCGATCTGCCCCTTTATCACGACAGAAACATGAAAAATTACATAAATAAACAGAAGTTACTTACATAAAATATTCTGTTGTAATTGCATATCCCCTAGGTAAGCTTGTAACCGATGGCTAACTATAGTAAATATTTCATCGTGTATTCGTAAATTATTATACAAATCTAAACAAATGTAGTGAGAAAATGCGTACGGGGACGAACCAACTCAACCAATTATAAAAATGAGGTCAAAGATGGTAAATGTGGTGAAATGTGACATATGAACTGAATAAAAATGTTGGTACGATCGTAATAAATACGAATAAACATTTTGTTTCGATAAAAAAAACAGAAAACCACACTAACATTTAGTGCCAAAAATGTTGTGTACAAAATCAACTTGTCAAACACAATTTTGTCCATAGAAATCGAAACTCGCCCCAAAATGGACCACTAACAATTGCGTCCACACAAAAACTCGCCCCAAAACTGATAAAAAGAAATACCATAGAAAATCAAAATATAGATAACTTCACAATAGATAAAGATTTATTGCAGAGTTGTACTTGTTAACAGTTTAACAGGAAATATGAAAAAGAGTGACAAAAGCAGTCTCTGCACGGCCCCCACATAAGTCGCCTCAATGGGTCAAGTATAGGGCACAGACAGTGAGCCAACGATGTTTCAAATAATAAGAAGTTGGCAAATAAACTGAAAATAATAAATGTCATAAGATAAATAACGTCTCCTGAAGTGAAAATGAGTAGGACCTTTGGTAGCCTAATTGTGACATACTCAGGTTAGCAGCCAATTTTGCTGTATATAACAACTGCATCAGAGCTAGTCTGAAACTGTTTTGTATACATGTGGCAGATCATTTTTAGCTCACCTGCCCCATTTAGTGCAAGTGAGCTTATGCCATGGCGCGGCGTCCGTCGTCCGTCAACTTTTCCTAAAAATTGCTACTAGTCAGAAACGACTGAGCAGATTTTGACCAAATTTGGGCAGAATTATCCTTAGGGGAAGGGGAACAAATTTTGTATAAATGGTGGGTCTGGCCTCCCTGGGGGCTGAGGGGCGGGGCCCAATAGGGGAAATATAGCAAATTCTTTAAAATCCTTCTTCTTCTGCAGGAATGAAAGGATTTGTTCCATATTTGGTCTGAAGCATCTTTGGGGGAAGGGGAACCAATTTTGTATAAACCGTGGGTCTGGCCACTCAGGGGCCTGAGGGGTGGGGCCCAATAGGGAACACATAGTAAATTCTTTCAAAATCCTTTTCCTTCTGTAGGAATGAATGGATTTATTCCATATTTGGTCTGAAGCATCTTTGGGGGAAGGGGAACCAATTTTGTATCAACCGCGAGTCTGGCCCCTGAGGGGCGGGGCCCAAAAGGGAACACATAGTAAATTCTTTAAAATCCTTCTTCTTCTGTAGGAATGAAAGGATTTGTTCCATATTTGGTCTGAAGCATCTTTGGGGGAAGGGGAACCAATTTTGTTTAAACTGTGGGTCTGGCCCCCGAGGGGCCTGAGGGGCGGGGCCCAATAGGGGAAACATAGCAAATTCTTTAAAATCCTTCTACTTCTGTAGGAATGAAAGGATTTGTTCCATATTTGGTCTGAAGCATCCTTGGGTAAAGGTTAACCAATTTTGTATAAACCGTGGGTCTGTTCCAATTGGGGCCTGAGCGGTGGGGCCAAATAGGGGAAATATAGCAAATTCTTTAAAATCCTTCTTATTCTGTAGGAATGAAAGGATTTGTTCCATATTTGGTCTGAAGCATCCTTGGGTGAAGGGGAACCAATTTTATATAAACCCTGGGTCCGGCCCCCCATGGACCTGAGGGGCGGTGCCAAAAGGGGGCAATTGTGCTATATTGATTTAAGCGACTTCTTTTCTGGAACTTAGAGATAGACATCAACCATATTTGACTGGAAGCATCCCTCGGTAGTGGAGATTCAAAATTGTACAAATGGTTGGGCTGACACCCAAGTGGGCTGAGGGGAGGGTCCAAAAGGGGGCAATTTGGCTATATTGCTATTAACGACTTCTTCTTATGCCATGGATACTGATCATATTTGGTCAGAGGCATTCATGGGAGGCAGGGTTTCAAAATTGTACAAATGGTGGGGCTGACCCCCCCATGCTAAGGGGTGGGGCCAAAAAGGTTTATTACTTGGAAATGGTTGAGATCCCCACGGTATAACCATATATACAACTGTGGAGTATAAAGAGAAGCATGCACATTTGCTTCCAGGATGGCCTAGGGTCTGGCCCCACCCTTTGAAACATAGTCCCTAGGTCATATCTTTGAAACGGTTGAGATCTCCACCCCAGAACTATATATACAAATGCTTGGCATAAAGAGACAAAAGTAGTCATGGTATTAGAATAGACCCTGGGGTCTGACCGAACCCCTAGGGACCTAGTTTCTTAGTCACAGCGTGGAAACAGTTGAGATCCCCACCCTATAACCATACATATATGCAATTGCTGAGTATAAAGAGATGAATGCACATATGCTTCCAGGATGACCTTCGGGTCTGCCCCACCCTTGTAGACTTAACCCCTGGGTTATAACTTTAAAACGGTTGAGATCCCCACCCCAAGACTATAAATACAAATGCTGGACAAAAAGAGACGAATGCAGTCATGATATTAGAATTGATCCTGGGGTCTGGTCACAACCCTAGGGATCTAATTTCTGAGTCACAGCTTGGAAACAGTTGAGATCCCCACCCCATAACCATGCATACATTAAATTGCTGGACATGAAAAATCTAATACAGACATACTACAAGAATTGGCATTGGGGTCTGGCATATTCCCTACGATCTCATTTGGAGAATATTTTGCCATCGATTGCTTTGATATCCAGGTGAGCGATACAGGCCCTCTGGGTCTCTTGTTGATCTACTAGGTATGTTGAATTGTTCCTCCTTTAACATCAATTACTCACAAATATTTCATATTTTTAGCCCACCATCATCAGATAATAGCGCTAATCCTCAGAAAGTAATGGATGGATCTCTCTCAAATTTCACATGAAGGTTCCCCATGGCTTCTGGTTATGCATATCAATTTTTCAGACTGATAGAAATATCAAAATGGCCTGCTGCTACATCTATAATTGATTTATTTAAAGTTTGTTACTTGTATTTCTCAGAAAATACTGGAAGAATCTGTCTTAAATTTGATAATTATGTAGGTTCCCCTTGGTCTAAGTTGTGTTAACTATTGAGACTGATCAGATAAGCAAAATGGTTGACAGGCGGCCATCATGGATTTTGACAGTGATTGTCGGTTATCGCTAATCTCAGGAAGTACTTAAGGTATCTTCCTCAAATGTGATATGTATGTTCCCCTTGGTACTTTGTTGATCATAAAAACAAGATGGCAGCAGGAAGAATTTAATAGTTCTTTCTCATATTGCAATGATCAGTTCTATTTCCTTCCCATTAAGTACTGTACCAGTAAATATGTAAATATAAGACAAACTTACCTTGAAGGTTTTCTTTTATATACAGCAGTATGCGTTAACTCAAGGTGCATTAACTGTTTACATGACTCAATCAAACAGATATGAAGAAAAAAGAAGAGAAAAGATGGAACTGACATAGAACAATGGCGATGGTACAGTGATGGGTGCCAAGATTCCTCTGGGATCTCTTAGGCTGACAATCAAGATATTAAGAAAGTAATTCTAAATCAGAATCAGCATCTTAAGTATGTATTGAGTATTGAGAAACAAATCTATCCTCCAAGTTAATTCCATTGTTTGTTACAGTGGTAATGAGATGGGACTGGTGTCAATGTGGACGGTGCCTCAGCGGCAGTCGACAAGTCAAACACAGATCACACCATTCGGTATCCGGAGGGAGACAGTGTATGAGGTAATTAATGAAATCAGCTGGAAAAGCTTTTCTATTCCTGTTTATGTACTTACAACTTTGGAAGGTGTAGAGTTATACTAATTTTTGACATGTTTTGGACTTAACTGTCTTGGCCAAAATCTTCAGGTTAAAGTTTGGGTTAAAGTTTTGTAATGGCTCACCGTTCACTTAATAATAGTGTTAGGATGCTGATTTTATGTACACAAGTTCTTTAGGGGTCTAGCATTAATGTTGTTTAGTGAAAGTCGAAAAATAATTTATTTTTTTTTAATTTTTTACATGTTTTGGACTTAACTATCTTGGCCAAAATCTTCAGTTTAAAGTTGGGTTAAAGTTTTGTAATGGCTCACCGTTCACTTAATAATAGTGTTAGGATGCTGATTTTATGTACAGAGGTTCTTTAGGGGTCTAGCATTAATGTTGTTTAGTGAAAGTGGCAAAATAATTTTAGTTTTTTTGATTTTTAGCTCACCTGGCCCAAAGGGCCAAGTGAGCTTATCCCATGGTGCAGCGTCCGTCGTTCGGCGTCCAGCGTCCGGCATCCGTCAACTTTTTCCTTTAAAATGCTACTTGTCCTGAATGGCTCAGAGGATTTTGACCAAATTTGGTCAGGAGCATCATTGGCCAAAGGGTTCTCAGTTTTGTATAAACGGAGGGTATAACCCCCCTGGGGGCAGAGGGGCGGGGCCAAATAGGGGGAAAATAGGTAAATCTTTAAAAATCTTCTTCT